GAAATATTTAACAATTATTTATATTGTAAGTGCCTTACCACAAAACCTAGATTTGTGATTTTTATCTTTTTGATATACAATCAATTGAGCGGTTGTGGTACACTTTTGTAATATGCCCTTTACTTGTTCATCAACGAGCCATGAATTATTTTTATTGAAATTTATTAATTATGGAGATTGCCTTTAATAAGCACCTAGTGCTTCCGTCAAAATCCATTTTTGCCTGTATTATGTTATTATGGTTGTTAAAATGTATGTATTATGTCTGATTATATCTGATGCAATATATGCAATAAATATGTTTAAACTATTTTCATTTCTGTTAAAAATTGTTATATCTAGTTTATTTCATGCTTTCCAGTGTTTTATTGTAATATATCAAATGATTATATTCTGGTAATCCACTTGTGAAATTTATCAAATATAATTATCACTGTAGCCGAACTATATCTGAATGCGGATGAAAAGAAAATCATAACTAAATGGAATAACAGGCAGAAATAAATGTCGTCATGCGTAAATTTTGCTTCTTTAGGAATAGAAAGTCGATGTCACCATACATCATGTTGAAAATGTAACAAAGTTAGAGAAATTTAACAGAACTATATTTCAAAATTGATGATGTGACGTCATGATGTGATGACGTCAAAAAGGAGAATGCGCGACGTTACGCGGCAAAATCAGTAAAAAATACTTAAAATCACTTAAAAGCATGAAATAAAAAGAAAATTTATTTGTTTTACATAAAAGATTGAAATATATTTCATTCGTGAACACCAGCTATTATATTTACACTCGGGGCTTACGCCACTCGTGAAAATATTGCATCTGGTGTTCACTCAGTGAAATTATATTTCAATCTTACATGCAAAACAAACAAATATCCTCTATTTGGCTGTGTTTCCTTAACATTTCATAATTAAAAATGGGAATTATTCAATCGAAAAAAAAATACATATCAATCAAAAATAAATATAAATGAACGATAAAACTGTCAACATTTCATATCATACGACAAAAGGCATAAAACGATCAATAATGTAACGGTTATACATAAAAAAGCGGTCAATTCACGGCGATTTTTCTTTAGGCCATTCAGGGACCCTCCCTGAGCATGCTTAGCGGAAGGCAACAAAGCGCAGAAACGACAATAACGTTTCTTCGATCTTTCGTATTAAGGCACCTTTGTAATGCACTGGCGACAGATCTAGATAACGCCAAATATAGGGCGCCAACACGCCAAATATGGGGCTACAATACGATATTTTTATATTCGTGTAGTCGCATTAATATCTAGTACCGTCGTGATGACGCTTTAAAAGGGGCCGCCACTAAGTACCGACAAAACGATAAAATCGAGTATTTATATTGTTGTCGTTCTTTCGTGTTGTCTACCCTTCAACAGTGACAGAAGGAAGTAACGACATTGCTGAAATCACTCACCATAATTTGAAATGGTAAATACTTTTTAAATATAAACAGAGAAGATATGTTGTGTTTTAACTTTACACACTACACACTACAGATAGCCACACTATGATAAACTTGTGTCAATAAAACAAGACCTGGCATATTTTAAGAATAGACCAAAATGATTTGAAGAATTTACAAGCCTTAATAAATTTCTGCAAAAAAGTATTTTACCCAAAGATGAACATAGTATATCTATAAAAATCAACTGCAACATTATTCTTGTGCCAGTACAAGCCGGTGTGATTAATATTCAATCATAAATATAGGCTATACTAGTAATAATGAAAATCTCTTCTTCGCAAAATAAAACATGCATTGGCAGTACCATTATAGAAAGAGAACTACACAAACACAAAAAAGAGTGACAATATGACCATTTTTGCTGTAAAGTAGAGTTTAGAGAGTAATACGTTTTAAACGATTGACTATTATAATGTTGATCGACAAATAATTGATGATGAAAAATTTGTATGATACATTATAGAAACTACATATCTTATAAAAAGACTGCCACATTCTTTATAAGAACTGAGCGTTACTTAAGAAATAATATCGGTCTCAGCGATATTATCGGCTATTTAACACAGGTTTTGAGTTTTGATGCGTAGGAATTGACCACGAAGGCCTGAGTGGTAAATTGTTTCGCATCAAAACGACAAACCAATGTTCAATAGCCGATCAATACCGCTCAAGCCAATATTATTTCGATTCTAACAAGATAAAATAAGGAAGATCATTTAAGTTAATTTTTCAATAACTTCCAGTGCCGATTTGCTTATAACGCTGTTTGATTTCGCACCCTACTGTTGCTAAGATATAGAAATTATTTAACAAAAGAAATAATAAGAAAAACATCAGTGCCCAATTTATCATTCTTGTATGTTTAAAATGACGTCAGCGTTTATGGATGAGTTTTATACTTATTTAATTATTTATGAACTGATAAGGATCAACTCCTTGGTGTAAGTGTATGTGAGATATAATTTCGGTATTGTATGAAAAGAAAACATTATAAGAACTAAAATATAAATTAAAAATATTTTTTATTGTTGCTTTAAAAGGCTTTGTATACTATATAATCGACGAAAAAACATAACAGCCGCATATACAAGTAGTCCCTAACAAGTGTTTATTGGCAATTTAACACAGTTTTTTTTCTTCTTTGTGTATAGTGACAAAATCACGAGGAGTGTTAGAATGATAAAGAATGATGTTTACAGAAATTATCGTTGATCACGTGGATTATTGGTTATTTAAAAGTAAAATATACTACTCATCATTCTTTTGTTATACGGCGATATTACCGGTTTATTGCCATTCAGTGGCTTACATTTCTTACATCTGTCACTTAGATATGGCGAATGCTTACATAAGGCGGCATATGAGAGAAGCAGAGTTCTTGAGGGTTAAAGGGATGATGCAGCAGGGGGCCACCTTCCGCCAGGTTAGTGCGGTGCGTGGTGTACACCACACCGTCATCACCAGAGCCTGGGAGAGGAGGCATGCAGAAGGTCGGGAAAGGGTCACACCACCAGCTCAGGTTGTTCAGGCACGTCGTACAAATTTCGACAGCAACCTCTCTTCGAAATGACCTTGCATATGTTTTCACGCAGACGGTACGTAGAAGACTGCATGAAGGTAATTTGCGGTCGAGAAGACCCTGCATACGTATCCCCTTGACGCATCAACATCGCCAGGCCAGTTTGGTATGGACAATGTAGCATAATCGGTGGACCATACAACACTGGAGACAAGTTCTTTTCACTGATAAGTCTAGTTTCTGACTAGCCTTCACAGATAGGCGTGCTAGAGTTGGGAGAAAACGAGGTGAAATGTTTTCATGCTGCAAATATTGCTGAGCATGACGGCTCTGGAGGTGGGTCAGTTATAGTGTGGGGAGGCATCTGCTGGGATGGACGAACCGACCTGGTTGTGCTAAATAGAGGTACATTGACAGGTCATCGATACATTGACGATAAATTGACGTCATTTTAGACAACCAGATTGGGTTCTATGCTGGAACAGTCGGCGATCAGTTCATTCTAATGGACGATAATGCTCGCCTCCATAGGGCCAGGGTGGTCTAGGACTACCTAGAGAGGGAGTCTTTTGAGCACATGGACTGGCCAGCTCGCTCACCTTAAATCCAATAGAACACATATTGAACGAGCTGCATGTTAGACTTTCAGCTCGTCAGCTGCAACCCAGAATAATCCAGGGGCTTGGAGTGATTTTGGTCCAAGAATGGGCAGCCATAACCGTTAGAACGGTCATAATTTTAATAGGGCGTATGATAAGGCGCTGTCAAGCTGTCTTTGATAGTTACAGGTCACATACATGAAATTAAGCGAAAATTCCAATTTAACAAATTTGGAAAATACGCTGCATGTTCTGAAATCTTCAATGACGCGGTCATTCTCTTCTCTTGAACAAAAAAAAATCACACTTAAATATATGATGCTGAGCAAAAGTTGAGTTGTATATGATAAAAATGAACATATTTTAACAAAATTTCAATTTTTTTTATTTTTACCTGTTCACTGAAATTTTACACTTGGGTGAATTGATTTCCCTTATAATATTTTGAAAGATGTTTTTATCAATTGTAATCAATGTTAATATTATTTTTTTTATTGAAACTGACTTTGGATGTAATACATGTATGATTGCAATAACATCTAAATTATATTCGGATTATTACTATACAGTGGCAGAAACATTATCATTTATTTGGTACACAATTTATAATCATGCAAAAGTACTTAACTTAACTGAGTTTTAACTGAACTATATATTATCATCCTTTTAATCTGATTCAATCACGTTTGTTCTTAAGTATTGTGTACTTAAACGAGAAAATAGGACAGTTCCTTTGGAAGATATTTTAAATTAGTAATATCATTTGTGAAAAGACAGTTTAAGGGTTAAGATGGAATTTGTAATGTAAAAATACCGTCCTATTACAATCAATTTAGCCAAATTATGTGAAGAGATTCAGGATATCAACCTCGTCAAATGGCAAGACTTCATCCGTGGAAAATGTTTGTTATCATGCCAAAAATATTTAACATAAATCTGATGCAATCTTATAAAAATATTTTATGATTAAAGCAAATAATTTAAAATTTAATATAATTTTAATGTTACTATTTATCAATTTGATCATCATTATATGGGAGTTAAACAACCATAATCGTTTTAATCGATACACATTTCAGTGAATCATATAAAGTTGTATCCCAGCGGGATAACATTTACCCTACAAAAGTACTGTCAAGTGCAAACTACCTTCCCCACTAAGTCATTAAGTTATCAAGTCCACACATGCAATTCATTTCACTCATAACAGATACATTTTAGTTCATGTGATTGTACCATTTATGACATTTTTATGTATAATTATGTTATCTGCCCTTGAAATGACTTGTAATAGCAGAAAATGTCAAATATGCGGGCAGTGTACTAAAAAAACGAGACGACAATGTAAAGATCGTTTAAACATTATGAGTTGAAAAATGCTAACTTACACTAGTTGTACAACTTTTGTCCCCTTTTCCAGTACAAGCTCCATCAGTCTTATGTCCTTTAGAAACAGATAGTATTGCATTAACAAATGAAGACTTGCCTGCTCCAACAGGTCCAACAAGAACGATAGTAGGTTTCCATTGCGGTTGTATTTCTTTTATTTGTCTACGAAGTAACAGTTCATACTGAGAAAAAAACACATACAAACAATATAAAATGACACCCTTTATTCCAAAAATTGAACATATTGACATGGCAATAAAATATTTAACATTCTAAATCAAATAAGTGTAGCTTTTACATATAAAAACGCTAATTTTCACAGTAGAAATGTCCATGCTTTTCGATAACTGAAGTATCAAGAGTTTATAATATGCAAAAAAAAAGTTTTTGTGACGCAGAACTCACAGGTAGACTCTGTATATACAAGGGTCAGTCAAAAATACCCGAGTATTGGTACAAAATCTCTAAGACGGATAGACATATCTAAATAAAAACGTACATAACGATTCCCTCGTTGAGACATGTATAAACTAGTGTGATGACATACGTTATCATTACGTCGTTTTGAGAATAAGCATGGCTCAAAATTGACCGAAACTTGTAATATTTTGCCGTAGTATGAACAATCGAGACATGTTGTGTGTGTATGACTTTATAGCAATGTGAAAGCCGCCAGGAAATTCCTGAAGGCTGTTAATAAAGGCTGCTACGAAATGCTTTTGAGTTACGCTACAAACGACCAAAACTTAATTATATTACACATTGTTTGCAACGAACATTACATATCAGAAGGCTAAATAAGTTTAGACATTATTTAAAGAGAATGAGAAGGAATACTTCATAAAAAACTGCATTTTCTTCGGAATTCAGCCTATGTGATTATAATTTGTTACATGTTCAGCAATTAAAAGACCTCTAAATTCTTTACTGTGATTAACATAAATGAGGTTGCCTTGTAACCGTCATTAAAATGTTTCCATAGAAATGAGAGTATGCCATACGATCTAGAAGAGATTTAACTAGGGAATATAACATCAAAATGTGGGTGAATGTATTTGTGTTACAGTCAAGACATCTAAATTTTTTTTGACTATCATTCGGACTGAATACATTTTTAATACCAAAAGTTAAAGCAATGATAAACAACATATATGTAATGATAATGACGATAAAGAAAAAGCGATTAAATTATTTTTTCCGATTAATGCCTATGATTTTAATTGAATCTTTTCAGAGAAAAAAAAAATCTTACGTCTTGATTCCATGCCGGTATTGTTCTCCACGGGGTTCTTGTAAAAGGACAAGGAGGTGGTGGACCTAAGAAAATAAAATTAGATATTACTACACAGAATTTTTAAGTATTTCGATCCTTTTTTGGTTTGAACGGGAATTTTGAAACTCAGTCATATTCATTTAATCTCAATTGCAAAACAAGTTCTTGCAAATAATATAAATCAATTTGGAGTCCGCTTCCTGCAACCAACCAACGCTGGTGTAATATAAGAAAATAGTAGGGCTGGGACACATGATCTCTGGCTTGAGAGACAGACAACCACATAGCCATCAGTCCCTTCAGAGAATTAGTCATTGTTCATCAGAGCAGCAGAGAGTCGTCTTTATCAGTGTATTACTTAGAACAAAGTTACTTAAGACATCTCTGCTCAATATGCTTTCAACAATAATATATATATATTTTTTGTTATAATCACTTATTCATCGGATAGTTTTGGGTCATCGAAAATAAGAGACCGAAGCCGATTTAATCCGCTCCGCTGCGACAAACAGGTCATAAATTAGACCAAATTGTTAAAAAATTTGACTGACATGACGTTTGTCTTTATATATTAATCTGGCAATAGAGTAGACAATAAAAACGCCTCAAAGTGGCATCTGGCTAGAAAATATACTATAGTGTGGTTTCTTCCGATACCAACCACTGTTTGGACGATTGTTTAAATGTTTAAGGGCATGCTTGGCATTATTTGACCAGTTACGCTCTGTTTATCAAGTTAAATGTGTACTTGATATTTTCGACGGGTATTGGTACGCACAGAGTAAAATTGTTTATCATCTTAATGCATGAATACGCAAATAAGCGTCTTATTTAAAGCTTTGTACAGTCACTACAGCTGCTAAGAAGTAGCCAACGCAAGCACGAATATAAAGTTTATACTATATACATATATGGAAGATCAATGACCTCTTGGGCAGGGTCATTTTTGACCCTTAAGGTTTTATTTGAACAAACTTGGAAGACATCTTCTAGAAGATATTTCATGCTTAGTATCTAAGCTCTAACTCTTTTGGATTTTCACAAGAAGAATTTATTTTTTACCATATACATATAAGGAAAATCAATGACCCCTGAGACGGGGCCAATTTTGAACTTTGGGGCCTTTTATTTAAATAAACTTTGTAGACATCCACTAGAAAATGTTTTATGCCAAATATCTAAGCTCTAGCTCTTTTGGATTGTCACAAGAAGATTTTTTAAGATTTTAATATATATATTAAATATATATATATATAAGGAAAATCAATGACCCTGGGGCGGGGCCAGTTTTGACTCTAACGCTTTTATTTGAACAAGCTTGGTAGACATTAATTAGAAAATGATTTGTGCTAAATATCTAAGCTATAGCTCTTTCGGTTTTTTACGAGAAGATTTTTTAGAGTTTTTGGTGAAATAATCTTAACCAGAGTTCTTTATGTAATTTATTTCTTTTAACAACTTTGGTAGAACTTCATGCAAGGAACACCCCTGCAAAATTTCAACAAATTTGGCCAATTGATTTAGGAGGAGAAGTTGTTTAAAGAAATTGTAAACGCACGAATGCACACACGGACGCACGATGGGCGACGGACAAAGGGCCATCACAAAAAGCTCACCTTGCGGACATTGTCCTCAGGTGAGCTAAAATCATATTATTCTGGAAATGGGCAAATTGCGCGGGGATTTGCCTTTACATCACGTGATAATTCTAAGGATACTTTAAAAAAACATATATATATATATATATATATATATATATATATATATATATATATATATATATTATATATATATATATATATATATATACACGCACACACACGCACGCACGCAACCCAAGCACACGCGTCATGTCATGTGGTCGATATTCGTTTTTTCTTCTTCGTTACGAATATCGTTTTATATGTATTGTTTTGTCTATATCTTGTAAATTTGTCTCTTTGTGTTATCTCTGTGTTCTATTTCTCTACAGTCCGGTACACAATCCATTATCCTATATCATTCCTATATTATTTTAGTTTTTTATCTTTACATCATAACAACTAATAACTTGTATTTCATTTCGACATAACAGAATACCGGGCCTCAGTTTTTACAAACTTCCCGGAAAAACCATCTCGCGCATGCGCACTTTGATATAAATATATGCCTAAGGTTTGCGCCAGAAATTGTTTGTCTATTTATTAAAATTTCAAGGCGTTTGTTTCATGTCCTTCACAGATTATTGTTATGAATCATTATCAATCATCTTTCCATTGATCGTTTATGTATATCGGAGCTGTATTTATGCACGTTGATATAAATATATTTCTAAGGTTTGCTCAAGAAATTGTTTGTCTCTTTATTAAATTATCAAGGCGTTTGTTTTATGTCCTTCACAGACATAAACAGCCATTCCTTTCATAGAGAAGAACTTACGACACCCGGTTAATCCGAACTCGCCCGGACCGGAAGAACAGTTCGGATAAGAAAGATTTCCGGATTTGAAGTTTTTTTGTGCATATTTGCAAGTGAAGGGAAAAAAGTTCAAGTAAAGAAAACGGAATGAATATGAAATTGCAACATAAATATTTTATTTTTAACTCTTATCGTACATTTTAAAACACACGAATACAAACTAAAAACAAGAGCACTGCTAGGTGGAGCATTATATACCCGACAAGTGTAAGTCTTGAATGAATAATAAAAAATGTGACTTCTGTAAAACAGCCATCTTTCATTTATGAAGGACATACAAGGCATACATAAATTAAAGAAATTGATACATAAACACAATAAAATAAAGTATTACTTCCTTCAAAAAGAAATCCTCCTTTATAGCTGAAGAACCTTCATATATATAGAGATGCTGTTTCTGAAGCACTACCCTCAAGTTGTTATCTTGTAAGTAAAAATGCTATGACGGATGGACGAACGGAAAGACGCCAGGGGTATGACATAATATAAGCAATTTATTTAGGGCATATAAGTAATGTACTCAATATAAGTGATCATCCTATGAGTTTTACAGTTGTAAAACTGTTTAAAATATTATGGTCGTTTGCTATTAACCTTTGATCTTGTGACCCCAATATAGATATGGATCTTTCATTCAATATAAGCAATCATCCTATGAAGTTTTAACACTGTAAGCTACATTGAACAGGTGTTATGCTCCAGAAACCACATTTTTCAGTGTTAAGGTCATTGTAACCCTGACCTTTGACCTTATGACCATTCAATCAATAGGGGCCATGTATTGGACATGGCTGTTTATCCTATAAAATTTTACAGCTGTAGATTGATTTATACTTTAGTTTTGGAGCGGAAACTGTTTTCAATTTTAAGGTAATAGTGGCCTCAATATAGACAATCATCCTTTGAAGTTTGAATATCGTGGGCTAAATGGAACTTTAGTTATGCCCCGGAAACCAATTGCTAACGGACGGACGGGCGGACGTTCTAACGGGACAGTAATAATGTGGCTACTCTATTGTTCTTTTTTTTAGCCACACAAAGAAAATTAGCCACATAAAAGCATTACGAATTGAATGACATCAAAGAGAAAGAACAGTTACCTATTGTCCCTCTAGCCACATTATTACTGTCCTGTGAGAGTGGGCAGGCAGACGGACGGACGCCAGAAGGTTTAACATTATATGTCCGAAATTCATTCGGGTATATAAAAACTAAATAAAAAGTTATGTCCTCAATGGTAAGTTCTACACTACGATGTGAAAAAGGAGGCTGATACATGATTTAATATTCGTACCGGCATTATAGTTTTCTCAATCGATTCGGCGGTACTCCGGATTCGCTGACAATTTACCTATATTGCCGTTATTCAATCTCATGTAATTAGATGTATTACAAAAGTTTAAAAGATGCAAGATGTGCGATTTATTTTGAAAGAAAGTACAGATTATAGGTGTGACAATAGGCAAACAGTGTTCGGATCCTGGAAGTTGATTTAAGAGTAAAGCAAGAACAAAATTTGAAAAAATAAATCGTCCGAAATTCGGAGTTGACAGGTTCCGGATCCGAAAGGTTTTTACTAGTAAAAATAGAACGAATAAAATCGGGACCGGACATTTTGTTCGGATAAGGAAGGATTTCGGATTAGAAGTGTTTGGATTAGCAAAGCTTCACAGGACCGGATGTGTTGGAAAAAGAACACAACTTCCTGTTATATATTGGATTCCTGAATTACATAACAAAGCCTTACAATGCCAGATTCATTGCTTTTTTTCATCTCTAGCACAACAAGTAAACTTTCTATTTTATTGACGTCTTGTTTGATTGCCATTTAAAAACATGTAATAAGATAAACACCGGCAAACATTTATTTTGGCCTATTAAGAATTCTGCTGAAATTTTTAATAAATTGAAAATTAAGAACTAACAAGCTTAAACTGTCGGTACATATAATTGTTCTACCCTTTATACAACACTATCACATAATTTAACAAGAAAAGCATTGATGCAAAGCATCAAAGGGCGACGCCAAAAGAATTTGATCCAGGTTTGCACCTAAATACTTAACAAAAGATGTGTACTTTATAGCAGTACCATTACATGTGACCTGGAGGCTAGGCCCAGTTTAAGTTGAAACTTAAACCAAAAAGAATAGACTCTGTCTTGCCAAGATGCAAAGACAATTTATAGTCAATTAACCAATCTTATAAGACTCATACCTATAATATGGAAGAATTTCTTCAGATTTATTTTACCAGACACAATGATTCCTGAGTCATCAGCATATAGTATCGGACCTGGGAAGAAAAAATATGACCAGATTGATAAAAAAAAACTGTGTTTAAAAAAAACCCCAAAAAATGTAAATGACCCCCTTTAAAAATATACTTGGAATAATTAAGTAGTATATTTTTAAAGGGGGTCATTATTTACATTTTATTTTGGGTTTTGACACTTTAAAGATGAACACAGTTTTATCAATCTGGTCATATTTTTTCTTCCCAGGTCTGATACTCGTGCCTGTGCATATAATAAAATCTTATTGTTAAGGGGTTGCAGACATGTCATTGACATATATTAGACATTCAAG